TATGTATGTAAATACATGCACGTATGTATAGTAGTGTTCTACAATGTATAATAACCATAACACTGGTTTATTTAATTTAAATACAAATAATTGGATCTTTCACGTGTCTGTTATAAGATATCACAGCTCTTATGTGCTTTTGTCCTCTCTCAGATGAAATCATTGCAAACTCAAGATCGTCCTACGAAGCCGCCTATGTCACCAGCAAAGAGGAAATGCCCCCAACCCACCCAATCCGTCTTGGTCTTGCGCTCAATTTCTCTGTTTTCTACTATGAGATCCTCGGCTCACCTGAAGAAGCCTGCAAGCTGGCTAAAGAGGTGCGTTCATAACACTAAATGTTCATACTTATGAAGATGGCAACCTGCTTAATGTAATGCAAATGATTGAATGTAATATATTTTTGATTATTGAGCTAAAACAGTGTACTGACACTTAAGAGCTTGTTTAAGATCACCATCCTTGCAGCAGTCTAAAACATATTTTTGAATCTGTTAGGCTTTTGATCAGGCCATTGCAGAGCTGGATACACTGGGCGAAGATTCCTACAAGGACAGTACACTAATCATGCAGCTACTGAGGGACAACTTGACAGTAAGTTTCCATTGCTTGGACACAAACTCACTTAAATGACATCTACATATCGTGTGCAATTTGTCATGTTCTTCATTGATTAGTCTTGATTTATTTTCTCAATTGTTTGTTTTTAAAATGCAATTACAGCTTCCTAGAACCAATGGTAATGTTTCCAACTTTCAGTCTAAAAGAATAACAGATTCACTTAACTATTATAGAATAATTTAAGGTAATTGATTATCAAAATGGTTGAATATCATTTTTCAGTTGCAGCTCTAATTTAATAACATTCATTCATGGTTCATTATGTTTGATATAGGTTTGATTGAGTAAGGTGGGGCTTACTACACCAGGACAATCTGTGACCAGAAATATTACGGTTTAGAGTTTGGTAACTTTTTTGGAGTCATTCAAATGGCATACACTGTATAAGTAAGTCGCAGTGTAGAAGTTTATCACGCTCAAAGCATTTCAAAATAACATTAAATTCAACAGCATATTTCTGTCTAGAAATTATTTCCTGTTGACTGTGCAATGCAACAACTACCCATGTATGAGGGCAGGAGCCTTTTACCCTATTGTAGAGAGGAGTACTGAAACCCGGTATTAAATGGGCTTTGGGGCAAAATTATTATAATACCGTGGTATCCATAAGCTTCAATGTTATCAGTTTTGCTATTGGTACTGGAGAAATGTCATAAATAATATCTTGCACGTTTTATCTCATCAACTCCGTTTGCAATAAGATTACAAAATGTGGATAAGCACCTTGCAGTTCACCAAAGCTGCATTCACGTGATACACAATTTGCTCTTTGCTCACCACTAGGTTAGACCACAGAGCATGTAAGTTCCGTTTCTATGCATACCTCCCCCTTCTAGCTAGCTTCATGCAACTGTTGTCTGATTGGTTGTGTGGTGAAAAGTCACCAATTAGGTCGAAGTTAAAATAATTTGAACTTTGAGCGCAGATCTTACCAATGTTTACGAGCGATGCGCGACACTAAGAATTCAAGTGTGGTTACACTTTACAAGTTTTATTTAGACAATGCTCGTTGCCACAAGTGCAATAAGGGATTTTTGTTTAATGGCGGAAACACAAGCAATCTGTCCAAACATCTGGCGCAAGTGCACTATATTCAGGCAGAGAAATGCACTGTTTGGAACTGCCTATCTCTTAGCTGTTGTTGCCCAAGCTACGAGTAATGTTACCAGGTATGTTATGTTGCTAGCAGCCTAGAGCCCACACAGAGTTTACTCAATTATACAAACATGGGTTAAGTATTAAATGTAAAAAAAAACGTCATTAGTTTTACATTTCCATCATCACAACTATTATTCAGGGATGCAAACTTGTCACCTTTCGGCGAAATTTGCCGTTTTGAATCCAAAATAGGTCGTTTGTGTGATTCATGTAAATCTGCAATAAAAATATTTTGGGGGTATGGGGGGGGGTCTGGGACCCGGAGTAATCTGCGGCCGCGAGCTGTTATGTGCCATCATGACACGCATGGTGTTCTTTTTTTATATATTATAATGAAGCGCGAGCTGTGTGCTCGAGTCTTCCTGCCTGTCGGCTCTGCTCATGGATGTATAATAAGGCTCTGCTGCTCCGGGATGAGGGTCTAGCTTCAGCAGCTACATTACCTACGGGTGCGTTCGTTAATATTAGCTGTGCGGTCCGGAGTCACTGTGGCACAGACTGGACCGCTGGTGAACAGCTGTTAGAACGGGCCGTTCAGGTGTTCAGAGCAGAGCTCCCTGTCGGAGCGGCAGAGCATGATGTGCACTGAAAAGTTTTTCTGTCGCAATATTATTTAAGGAATCGTTGAGCTAGCTAACTAGCATACATTGTCACTATCTGCTAATGTTAGCTTTAGCCTTCGTTTTTAAATAGTTTTTTTCATAGGCTATAAACGGAGGTGGTATAAGTATATATCTTGTACTTGAGTAAAAGTAGAAGCACTCAGATCTTGTACTAGAGTAAAAGTAGAAGTACTCAGATCTTGTACTTGAGTAAAAGTAGAAGCACTCAGATCTTGTACTAGAGTAAAAGTAGAAGCACTCAGATCTTGTACTAGAGTAAAAGTAGAAGTACTCAGGTCTTGTACTTGAGTAAAAGTAGAAGTACTCGGGTCTTGTACTTGAGTAAAAGTAGAAGTACCAGAGTGTAGGAATACTCTGTTACAGTAAAAGTCCTGCATTCAAAATGTTCCTCAACTAAAAGTAGAAAAGTATTCTCATCAAAATATAGTTAAAGTAGTGACAGTAAAAGTAGTCATTGTGCAGATTGGTCCATTTCAGAATAATATATATGATATGTTTTATAATGATTGATCATTAAAGTGTTCTCAAAGCTGGTAAAGGTGCAGCTAGTTTGAATGACTTTGTATACTGCAGGGTAGCTTGAGAATTTACTCCAGGTGGAACTAAAGTCTGATTTAACACTTGATTATATTTCACATCATTCATCCAGATCTGTAAAGTAACTAAAGGTATTAAATACATGTAGTGGAGTTAAAGTACACCATTTACAGGGATGCAAACTTGTCACCTTTCGGTGAAATTTGCCGTTTTGAATCCAAAATAGGTCGTTTGTGTGATTCATGTAGATCTGCAATAAAAATATTTTTGGGGTATGGGGGGGGTCTGGGACCCGGAGTAATCTGCGGCCGCGAGCTGTTATGTGCCATCATGACGCGCGTGGTGTTCTTTTTTTATATATTATAATGAAGCGCGAGCTGTGTGCTCGAGTCTTCCTGCCTGTCAGCTCTGCTCATGGATGTATAATAAGGCTCTGCTGCTCCGCGATGATGGTCTAGCTTCAGCAGCTACATTACCTACGGGTGCGTTCGTTAATATTAACTGTGTGGTCCGGAGTCACTGTGGCACAGACTGGACCGCTGGTGAACAGCTGTTAGAACGGGCCGTTCAGGTGTTCAGAGCAGAGCTCCCTGTCGGAGCGGCAGAGCGTGATGTGCACTGAAAAGTTTTCCTGTCGCAATATTATCGTTGAGCTAGCTAACTAGCATAACATATCTGCTAACGTTAGCTTTAGCCTTCGTTTTCTAATAGTTTTTTTCATAGGCTATAAACAGAGGTGGTATAAGTATAGATCTTGTACTAGAGTAAAAGTAGAAATACTCAGATCTTGTACTTGAGTAAAAGTAGAAGTACTCAGATCTTGTACTAGAGTAAAAGTAGAAGTACTCAGATCTTGTACTTGAGTAAAAGTAGAAGTACTCAGGTCTTGTACTTGAGTAAAAATAGAAGTACCAGAGTGTAGGAATACTCTGTTACAGTAAAAGTCCTGCATTCAAAATGTTCCTCAAGTAAAAGTATAAAAGTATTATCATCAAAATATAGTTAAAGTAGCGACAGTAAAAGTAGTCATTGTGCAGATTGGTCCATTTCAGAATAATATATATGATATGTTTTATAAGGATTGATCATTAAAGTGTTCTCAAAGCTGGTAAAGGTGCAGCTAGTTTGAATGACTTTGTATACTGCAGGGTAGCTTGAGAATTTACTCCAGGTGGAACTAAAATCTGATTTAACACTTGATTATATTTCACATCATTCATCCAAATCTGTAAATTAACTAAAGGTATTAAATACATGTAGTGGAGTAAAAGTACACCATTTACCTCTGAACTGTAGTGGAGTAGAAGAACAAAGTAGCAAAACATTGAAATACTTAAATAAAGTACAAGTATCTCAAAATTGTACCCATGTATAGTACTTGTTGAGTTTATGAACTTAGTTACTTTACACCAGTGGCTATAAAGATAGAAAGACTAAGCCTTGCACAGAGGCATGAAAATACATTTTCAAAATGCTCAACAGTGCTGCCAAAATTATAAACTGACTGCTACACAATTAAAATAAATGCTTTTATACATTTCTATTAGATGTGACTCTTTGGCGTTTCTGTTATTATTAACACTGCTGCTTTGGTTGTTCTGATTGCTAAAATCCTCTGTTATGCCGATATTCCGTGGGGTCGGGGGGCTCGGATCCTTGTCACATTTTTCATACCTGATGAGTTTGCATCCCTGATTTATATAGAATACTCTCTGAACTGGGGATGTAATTGACTGATTCTGAAGAAACGTGCTTCATGCGGACAACATTCTGCAGCATGTGCTTGTTCTGCAGCAGCAGCTCCTCACAGGTAGGAAGGAGAGAACTGCGACGTTAATGACTTCAAACGTACAGCAGACTGCCATCAGTCATCTTTAAAATAACAAACAGACTTTAGATTTTGTCCGTCATAACAGAAAATAAAGGATTACTGCGTCCTCTTCAACAGTGCTAAGTAACATGACAGCAAAACCTATTAACACCATTAGTACATGGGGAGAACATTGGCGAATGCATCGGTCATCCCTACTAAGCATGGCTAGTTGGATTTGCATTAGCAATTTTTATGAACTCAATACAGCATCTAATCCAGGGGTGGGGAACCTTTTTCCTCTCAAGGGCCATTTCAATTTTTTCAACATCCTCCGAGGGCCGTACAAATGATTGACCTCTGCTTAAAAATACTAAAATCACAGCCCATTCATTTCGCCTTTCTTTCATGCTGTGCAAAGAAAAAGCAACCTCTTAATCCAGATATCTTACCATGACTCGCGCATGCATGCACGTGCACGGTGTGGCATGACCACCACAACAGAAAGATATGGACACAAGATGTGTGCAAATGTATTTAGTTTCCTATCTATGTGAACATGATTTAAGTGGGGGGGGGGCCTAACCTGCTCTAGGGGGGTCCCCCCGGGGAAGATTTTTTTTTTTTAAATGTTGAAGTTAAAAGCATCAATCTGGTGCACTTTGAGAGCAACATTAGGAGATCTATGGATACACCTCTCAACATCCATATGAAACAGAACTGTAAGCAGATTTCTTTTTCTTTATGGATATTTTACAAATCACTCCCCTTTCAAACTGTATTCTTGTTTATTAATAACAACTTTTTTTTACTGTCATATAGTATTTTATACCTGTTTACTTTATTCTCTTATTTTTTTATAATGATCATATAAAGATGTGCCTTTACCTCACTGGTTGGAGAAAAAGCTTCTTATATTCGTTAGCATAGTTAGCTAACCAGATGCTAATAACAACAAAGGTATTGACTGTATGATCAGTATGACAGATGAACAGATCGCCACTGGGCTTTCAACTAAAGACACAGCCACGCAAAAACTGCAGCATGTGTACGGCTCCTTATGGGTACTGACATTTTTGGAAGTGGCGGAGTGGCGTTCTGATGCTCTCCGTCAGAACTACAGCCCTGTCAGACAAGACGTATACCACGTGATCACACATTAGGCTCATGTTGTGTTCAAGGACCCTGACCGTGCCCAGGAAAAACAGGCACTCGCTTGTTTAATTTTTTTGCGGTCTAGATTTTAAAAAATATATATATATCTTTTTTGCGTGTGTTTATAAATTACCTCGAGGGCCGTACCAAATGGTCTCGCGGGCCATATCCGGCCCGGGGGCCGGCGGTTCCCCACCCCTGATCTAAACGATGGTTTATCACACACTGTTTATATCTGTATGGTCAGTTATTTAATAGTCCAGAATTGTTACTGAACAGGGGGGTTTCTTTTTCTGGTCACTGGAGAGTAGAATGCGATACTTTGAACTTTCTAATGAAATGAAATGAAAATCAAAAACATGTTAAGATGAGGTGTTAATTGGTGTATCCCTATTTTCCTTTACCTACTCTTTTACCCTTATTTTTTCAGCTGTGGACTTCTGATAACCAGGCCGAAGAGGAACAAGAAGCAGCAGAATGAGCCTGACCCCCATACTCATCCCTGTCTGCCTGCCATCATTCCGGTTCATCTTCATCATGATTATCAACACTGAGACGACCACATTATTCACATTGTTTCCAATTCTTCATCTTTTTTATATTGAGTCCCCTCAACACTTGTCTCATTCCTATCAGTTTACTATTCCTTCTTTAGTAACTGCATGGGAAGGGGGATGGGGAGGGAGGGCAGGTTTTAAATCCGTGATGTGAGGGTCCCGGTGAAAGCATAAAGGGTGTTTAGGGTTGGTTGCCTGTCAGCTGACCTTTTTTGTGTGGGAGAAATGGGGGTGTTGCATTATTGAGGTGCTGGGTGAAAGGGGAAGTTCTTAACTCATGAAACATGCAGCTGTGTGTATCATATTCATTTTGAAGCTCCTGTTCTTCATTAACACCATCTTTTGATGATACATCTGGGGTTTCACAAAATCAGGGGTCAGCTCCTTACACCTTAGGAGACAGCAGCTGTGACCGGTGGAGGTGTAAAGGAGACAGATGGCAAGGTTTTGTTGGAACACAAAGGTAACATTCCATAAACTGTCAGTTTCTCAACTTTCTACTCTTTATTATTTGTATTTGTTTTCGGGTGACATGCTTTTGTATTTCTGTGTCAATTACGAGGTATAGAAAAAATTGAAAAACAAGAGCACACAAACTTGATTTTGTTTTTATGAGCACAGCAGTAAGAAAAAGTCCTTATCTAGTTACTGCTTTTACAAATTTAGATTTTTATTTGATTTGTCTTTTATTCTCGGTTTCCTTTCGATACTTGCCTTAACTGCATGTTGGTAAGAAGTAGTTTGTGGACTTGTAAGGATGGTTGTTGTTGGGCAGGCAAGCTTTGTTCATGTCTTTGGAATTTTCATACAGAACACCCAAGCATAACTGTTATTTGGGGGGAAATGTGTAATTTCATGCAAGTGGAATAAAAAAAATTATTTAAAAGTTCCAACTATTAGTCTCATTTGGCCCAGCAGCCATATTATTCAAAGTCAACTATAGTATAAATGAATTGCACTCTGCTCTCAGGAATGGATGTCTGGGTCTGGGAGGAGGAGAACAAGTCACCTTACTTTATGAGAATAATGAAAACATTCTGCTCGTGTTCAATGTTGTTGTTTGCTCCTTTGTAATGTGTCCTTTAAATACATCATACTAGTGTGTTCTTGGTGGAAAATCCAAACATATATAGGACCTCAAGCCACACATCTGAGTACGCTGGACCTTTTAATGACCTTCATAAAAATTGCTACTAAGAAATCCTATTGACCCCCAAAAGGATTTGTTAATTAAACTAGACAGCGCGGCATTAGGGTGAAACATTTCTGAACAACTATTTCAAGGGACTAAAGCATACATTTTTTGTCTGTATCCTAAACCAAAAAGCTACATATCTTGCGTAATTGCCACTTGCTTGAAGGAACATCTAAAGGAATGATCTGCCATGACAATTTCGGTGCTATTCCATCTTTTAATCCCTACCCGTAGGTAAACGGCAGTGCAGTCAATTGCAAATCCTCTGCACAGCATGGTTCCAGCAGATTTCACTCTGGACACAGGCTGCTGTGGGTGGTGCAAGATAAAAAATAAATAGTTTAAAGTTTGTATTAAAATAAGTTACTATATATCGTTGTGGTGGTTGCATAATAAAATACATAATTTATGTATAGCCTGCCTGCCATAAAACGAAACTCGCTGTGTCGATGAAGCACGCGCTCTCTGCAGCACTGCAGAGGCGCGCGCGACTACTGCGGGAGCGAGCGATGGCTCATGCACGTCAGGACAAATATTTCAGGGGCTATTACAGTGAGTTTTTCTTATGAGTAACACTGTAGTTAATGCCTGGCTTATCAAACGATTTGGCCTTTAGGAACATTATGATCAGTCATCTTTTAAATCAAAATCACTTTACAGATTATAGATTGATATGATCGGCAATATTTCTGCAGGCGAAATTTAAAGTAAGGATTCGTTACGTGACATGAATCATTCTCAGACGCGGCAATACAGTCCAACATACCAGACTTTATGGAAACAACCATTGATTTGAACTAAGTGGATGATATTTGTCCGAGCTGATGCAGCTGCAGGATGATGTGTTAAACAACTCTCCCTTTCATTCTCAAGATAAACAATACATGCCCTAAAATCTATTAAGTCTCAAATGGGGTGACATTTTTAAATATTAACTAGCATGAAAAAAACTAGAATGTGGACACTTCTTCCGAAATAATATGTAAATACTTTTTATTTGGATATGTATTATTGTATGTAATGTATGAGTATTATTTCGTATAATCGTATGTCTATCTTGAAAAATAGATAGTGGATGAAGCTGTTGGATCAGCTTACATTGGGCACATTCCTTACATTTGAAGACATAACAAAGCTGGGGACTCGAGTTAGTAAAAAATTATTTGTAACGCTCAAAATTCAATAGAATATGAATTATCGCGAGATGTGCGACGTCAACATTGATGAACGCGCCGTGATCTCGACCAGAATCGTGAAACAACCTCCGCCGACCTTCCTTTCATCATTCCCGTAATCCGTCTGCGTAGGGTGTGCTCCAGAGCTAGTCTCGGCACACATTTTATTATTATGAAACAAACCAAAAGCTAGAGAGCACACGCAGACATATTTTTATAAGAAAAAAAAAATCGGTGAAGCAGGATTTCATTTGACAACTCAAGCAACCGAAGAAGAACAGCCTTCGAAAAAGAAAGAAACACGGAACGAGAAGCACGTTATCGAGCGGCGAGAGTCATTGTTGAAAGCGTGGGAGATTAACGTTAGCCACTACTTATTTTTACCTTTTATAAAGGGGTTGTCATTCCAGGGAACATCGTTAACCAGAACATTTGCTTCGTTAACTGTCAGCTATTTCGCTTCCTCTCTCACTTGGACAGAGTACTGAGTCAGAGCTGTCAGGTCTGCCAGCCGCAGCGGTTAGGTCACGCTCCGACATTTTGCTAATCAAGCTAAGTAGCCCACATTGCTAACTATAAAGAGAGCTAGAATATGTGTCTGCGATCTTATTTTGTATAGGTGATAGCTGAGAACAATATCATTTCTATATCGGAAGCTGTCATCCAAATTTAACATTTATAATACAAGCCTGAGAACCCTCGTCGTCAGACATGAATCCCAGCGCTCCTAGCTACCCGATGGCTTCCCTCTATGTGGGAGACCTGCATGCAGACGTTACCGAGGCTATGCTCTACGAGAAATTCAGCCCGGCTGGGCCCATCTTATCCATCAGAGTGTGCAGAGACATGATCACACGCCGGTCTCTTGGCTATGCATATGTCAACTTCCAGCAGCCGAATGACGGTAAGTTTACAATAAAATAATACAGCAATCTGACTCAATTTTGACCACATACTGTACATGCCATGTTACAGCAGTTCTACATTAGTACCATTGGGATTTAGTATGCACGTTGTGGTGGAAAGAGATATGTGTTTTGTATTCCTAAGTTATTCCAATAGGGAAAATGTTAATCAAACCTACTGTCATCAGAAGTCTTATCGTGGTTTCTGATTTTTAGCTGAGCGAGCCCTGGACACAATGAACTTTGATGTAATCAAAGGCAGACCACTCCGCATCATGTGGTCTCAGCGGGATCCCTCCCTAAGAAAAAGTGGTGTGGGCAACATCTTCATCAAGAACCTGGACAAGTCTATTGATAACAAAGCACTCTATGACACCTTCTCTGCATTTGGAAACATCCTTTCTTGCAAGGTAGGTGGGGCGACATGCATTTGGATGGCCTCTGTTTTGTGTTCAAGTGCTTTACATAGAGTCCACTAGTTTGCATGACTAAACATTGTCAGATGGAAGCTGGAGTCTGATGGTTTTTCAAATGCATGGTGTTGTGATTGTGTTGACATGCCTAATTTCCACTTCCCAAGGTTGTTTGTGATGAGAATGGCTCAAAGGGGTACGGCTTTGTCCACTTTGAGACCCACGAGGCTGCTGAGCGGGCCATTGAGAAAATGAATGGCATGTTGCTCAATGACAGAAAAGTGTAAGTGTGACCACAATTTACCTGTGTCTCACATATTTTGGAGTATTCACATTAACCTGTGATTTTTTTTTTTGTTGATACAACTAATTTGAGTTTATGCTTAACTGCATCTTGGTTTCCTACTCAAATCTAATTATGTTGAATGAACTGTTTTCATACAGCAATAATTATGAAGGTGTCAAAATGTTAACAAGTTATGCAAAACAATTGTCTGCTTGTCTTGATATGTGTTAATTGTTACAATATTCACATTATTCAATCAACAGATTTGTTGGACGCTTTAAGTCTCGTAAAGAAAGGGAGGCTGAGCTTGGAGCCCGTGCCAGAGAGTTTACCAATGTTTACATCAAGAACTTTGGGGATGACATGGATGACGTGAAGCTGAGGGAGTTGTTTAACCAATATGGTAGGACAATGATACATTTCAGAGACTCATAATGTTTGTATAATGCAGGTTAATGGTGTGATATGGCTGGTAAAATGTTTTGATTATTTGTTATAATTTGAAGGACCTTCACTAAGTATCCGGGTTATGACTGATGACAGTGGCAAGTCCAAGGGATTTGGCTTCGTCAGCTTTGAGAGACATGAAGATGCACAGAAGGTTAGAATCTACTCTTGGTTCTTTTTTATTATGCCCCATCATATGCATCTAACTATTGAAAAATGACCATCACAACACTTGTCACTGTAATTCTTCTTCTCTTTCACTTTAAGTATTCTATTGCTTATATCAGAGGTTTTCAAAGTGTGAGGCGCGCCTCCCCAGGGGGGCGCCAGAGAGCTTCAGGGGAGGCGCAGCGTGAAAAAATAACTAGAAACAGTGAAATCTAGCTAGTTAACTTCAGCTAACTTTATGCGAGCGGCAACATGGATCGATTTTTAGTGAAGTTACCTAAAGTGAGAGAGGAGACAGCGTCTGGCAGAAAACGGAGGAAGTATGACCACGATTATTTGAAGCTAGGAATTTCATGGACCGGTCCTGGCAGGGGCGTGTCCTGGAGAATCACAGAACGGCCGGTCGTCAGCGGGCCGTTGACGGCCGGCACGGTTCGCTGAAGGCCGGCACCGCCCTTTATTTTAATTGTAATAATAGGCGCTTTCACACCGGAGTACTTTTCCCAGTATAGTTCCGATATAGTTCCGAAAATGTGCGTTCACACCAAAAAAATCCGGAACTAGAACTTAGTTCATGAGAACCTTTTCAGTCCCTGCTAGAGAGCAGGTACTTTCATGGGAGAAAAAGGTTCCCATTTCTGATTGGCTGGGCGGATTGCAAACCACGCCCCGTAAAACTCCCAAAAAGTTTTGTGAAGCCGCCATTTTATTTTCCTCGCATTAGCATTATTAGCATTAGCCCAGCGCACAAACGGAGAGAGACTAACTTATGGCAACACAAAAGAAAACATGGGAGCGGTGGAGATGAGGAGGTGTCAGCGTTTCTGGCGATTTACTCGGAAGGCTTCAGTCCCAGCAGCTTCTACTGAAGCCAGTCCCCAACTCCGGGGACTTCGGGTGGCAGTATACGCCGTGAAGTTGTTTGCGGGCTGCCAGTAAACCCAAAGCAGATGAAGAAGAAGTGACGTCAGCGGCTTCATTTGCCTAATCCTCCCTCAGGGACTTATTCCGGTGTGAACGCAATCTGCTCTTTAGTTCATCAGAACTAAAGAGTTCTGATGAACTAAGTTCTGATGAACTAAGTTCTGATGAACTAAGTACGGCAAAGTGCGAAAGCGCCTAATACTTACTTTGATCAAAAGCAAGTACAGGTCAAGGCTGCAGCCAGAGGATGATCTGCGTTTATTCCTGTCTACATTGCATCCCCGCGTCATCCGTCTGTGCGCATCAAAGACGCAGACTCATTGTTCCCACTAAAGTAGGGGTGAGTGTAATAAGGAGGCAAAGTTGACGTTCAGTGTGTTGCCGGGAACATATAAGGATTTATCCACGATGTTGAAAATGCAAAAAAAAAATGTTTAAAACATAAAGATAAAAAGGTTTAACATTTTTATTGTTTAATGTTTTAAGGAGGTGATGCTACTCAGCCAATCAAATCGGTGCTGTCAGTGAGTCAGCACGATAAACTCACACACAGACGAGACAAGAAGAGAGAAACAGTCGGAGTAATTTCAAATGGCGTGCTCAAAAAAGAGAAAGGTAGACAGCGAAAACAGAGCATTTAATTACATTTTCTCTTACTGGACCTCTTTGAAATTGAATACCCCTGCATTATAGCAGCAACAATAATAATAATAATAATAATAATAGCAATAATAATTGGGAGGGGGGGCGTGGCTGTTATGTTCTCTGAGGGGAGGCTCACCTTCCCACACTTTGAAAACCCCTGGCTTATATCATTTCAGGCTGTGGACGAGATGAATGGTAAAGAAATGAATGGGCGGCAAGTGTATGTGGGCCGTGCACAGAAGAAAGGGGAACGCCAGAATGAGCTCAAGCGTAAATTTGAGCAGATGAAACAGGATCGCATGACCAGATACCAGGTTTGTTGGTTTCTACTGTCACTGGGTTGTAGCTTGAAAACTCTCCTTTCTGTGATAAAGTAAAAAGCATTCTGAGCCTTGTTACTCTCCCACCTCATTGCCCGAGTTAGCTAAGTTGTTTTATCTCTCCAAAACCTATTAGGTCTGGTAAATCACAACAAAGTGATATTGGTGTGAAATCTAATTCAAACTAGGTTGTCCCCTCTACAATACACAGTTGATTTGGCTCATTCTTGATATGTCCCTTTGGTTCGTTACAAATGCCATTGCCAATGTTACAGGGTGTCAATCTTTATGTGAAAAACCTGGATGATGGCCTAGATGATGAGCGTCTGCGTAAAGAGTTCACTCCGTTTGGAACCATAACCAGTGCTAAGGTAAGGGGCTTGATATGTAATTATGCACTTGTTGGCCTAAAAATAGATTGAGTTGTTAAAATACAAAATTAATGTAATTTTATAATGATTAACAAAGCGTATAAAAACTAATCTGTGTCTTCTCCCATAGGTGATGATGGAGGGGGGCCGCAGCAAAGGCTTTGGCTTTGTGTGTTTCTCTTCCCCAGAGGAGGCCACTAAAGCTGTTACAGAGATGAATGGGCGTATTGTTGCTACAAAGCCACTGTATGTGGCCCTGGCCCAGCGGAAAGAGGAGCGTCAGGCCCACCTGACCAACCAGTACATGCAGAGGATGGCCACAGTCCGCGCTGTGCCCAACCCAGTACTCAACCCATATCAGCCGGCCCCACCCTCTGGCTATTTCATGGCAGCTATACCTCAGGTGAGTCCGCTGGGTATACATACAATACAGCTTTATTTATAGAGCACTTTAAACCTCCAGACCAAACTGCTGTACAGTCAAATAAACAAACACAACATACAACAAATAATACAGCACAGCTCACACACCATAAAACAAGTACAAGTAAAAACAACAGACAATTTAAAAGCACTAAAAACAACACTCTAAAAGATGTTAATACGCTAAGGAGAAGAGGTGGGTTTTAAGAAGTGATTTAAAAGCAGGCAGTGTGGCGGCCTGTCTGATGTGCAGGGGCAGATCGTTCCACAGTGTGGGAGCCGCTACAGAGAAGCAACGGTCCCCTCTGAGCTTTGGCCTGGTTCTGGGCACGTTCAGGAGCAGTTGATCAGCTGACCTGAGAGGGCGGTTGGGCGTGTAAGGGTGTAGCAGCTCAGAAAGATATGGTGGGGTCATGCCATTTAGGGATTTAAAAGTAAATAAGAGGATTTTGAAATGAATCCTAAAATGTATTGGCAGCCAATGGAGTGAAGCCAAAATGGGTGAAATGTGGTCGTATTTCCGTGTGCCAGTTAAAAGCCTTGCTGCTGCATTTTGCACCAGCTGCAGACAAGCGAGGGAGCTGACCCCCATGTAGAGAGAGTTACAGTAATCCAGCCGAGTGGTGACAAAGGCGTGGATTACTGTCTCAAACTGCTGTCTGGAGAGAAAAGGTTTTATTTTGGCTAGCTGCCTCAGGTGATAAAAGCTTGTTTTTACCACAGATTTAATCTGACTCAAGTTTTAGTTCAGGGTCTATTTTAATGCCAAGGTTCGTAATGGTGGGCTTGGTGTACTGAGCCAAGGAACCCAGGTCTACAGAATTCATGCCAGTGGTGCCACCAAAAACCATTACTTCTGTTTTTCCGTCATTCAGTTTTAGGAAGTTGCACGCCATCCAGGCCTTTATGTCCTAGTCTAGGCACTTTAGCAGTGGGCTAATTGAGTAACCCTCCTTCTTTTTTAGTGGGACATACATCTGGCTATCATCAGCATAGCAGTGCAATGCGATGCCGTGCTTTCTAAGTATGGACCCAAGAGGGAGCAAATAGAGGGAAAATAGCAGGGGGCCTAATACTGAGCCCTGTGGGACCCCATACAGGAGTGGAGCAGAGTATGACTCGGAGTCACCAAGGCTGACAGAGAAAGTTCTATCCTTCAGATATGACCTGAACCATTCCAGGGCTTTCCCCTCAATGCCCACCCACTGCTCCAAGCGAGAGATCAGGATGTCATGGTCTACTGTATCGAAAGCAGCAGTTAGATCAATAAGTAGAAGCACAACGCAGTCCCCAGAGTCAGTAGATAAAAGGATGTCATTAAAAACTCTTAAAAGCGCTGTTTCAGTGCTGTGCATAGTTTTAAAACCGGATTGGAAAACCTCCAGTATATTCTTCTATTCCAGAAAAAACATAATTTGACTGTAGACAATTTTCTCCAGGATCCTTGACATAAAAGGCATTTTGGAAATGGGCCTAAAATTTGCCAGAACTGTGGGATCCAGACTGGGTTTTTTAATACGAGGTTGCACTATTGCATGCTTCAGGTTTTCAGGGACCTTCCCTGAGAGCAGACTGCTGTTTATAACTGCCAGCACAGATAGTCCAACAGTGGGGAAAACCTCTTTAAAAAGTCGAGGCGCAACAGGGTCTTTTGGAGAACCAGTGGGCTTTAACTTGGAGACAATCTCCTGTACAAAAGACAGAGCAACAGGCTCAAACTGGTTAAAGACAGCAGAGCACTGAGGCGTGAGATTTGAGCTCTAGCGGAGTTTACCTTATTAATAAAAAAGTAAAGAAAGTCTTCACAGACCGCAGTAGAGGTCTCCATAACGGTAGTCTGGGGGGCATTGAGGACCAAATCAATAGTCTGAAACAGAACACGTGGCTTGTGACGGTTTGACAGAAAGATGTCAGATAAATGTTTGCATTTTGCCTCTTTCACAGTGATCTGATAGAGACGCCAACACTCCCATAACATTTGAAATGAAACTTGCAGTTTGTCCTTTTTCCATTTACGCTCAGCTCAGACAGTCCGAGTCGTGTCATTTAACCAAGGCTCAGATTTAATTTAAGGTTGCCTGGTTTTTAAAGGAGCAACAGTGTCTATGGTAGCTTTGCAAGTGGAGTGAAACCATGAGCTAAGCTCATCCGTTTCAGGTGACATGGGTTCATGATTAACACAGTTCTGTTTAAAAGCGACAGAGAACTGACCAGCAGTGGAGGGGTTAATAATGCGAGCGCGCCGAGGAGCAGCGCGCGGTTTAACAGTTTCACAAGCAAGAGTCACATCAAATAATACAGGCATATGATCAAAGAAAAAAGCGTCACAAATCTCCAGGTTAAGAACAGGCAAACCATAAGATAAAACAAGATCAAGTGTGTGTCCGCGTTCCTGCATGGGGCCAGCATGGGGCCAGACACAGACTGCACAAGATTAAAGGAATCGACAAGGTTTAAAAAGTTCTTTGCCATAGGTTTATCGGGACAACACACATGAATATTAAAATCCACAACAATAAGGACACGATCATATTTTGGCATAATTTCAGCCAAGAAATCAGAGAAATCCCTTATTGTATTTGGGAGGTCTATAGACCACAGCACACAGCACTGTATGAGAGCAACCAAGCTCGAACACGCTCAGTTCAAAGCTGTCGGGTGAGAATGACAGTGAAAGCTGCTGGCATTTATAGTCACTCTTAAAAACAGTTGCTATACCTCCACCTCGGCCTGACGTCCGCGGAGAGTTAAAATAGCAGCAATGCTGCGGTACAAGTTCGGTAAACGCGCTGGACTCACCAATACTGAGCCATGTCTCAGTCACGCAGAGGAAGTGCAAACCCTTGGAAGTGAAGAAATCCTTTAGGAAAAAAGTCTTGTTTGTCAGCGGTCTTGCGTTAACCAAGCCAAACCTGGCAGGGGCTGGCAGATCGGCGGCGTTCGAGGTCCGGGGAGCCCGACACAGAGACCTCAGGTTATGCAGATTAACCCCGCGGCAGCGGGGACGAGGGGAGCAGGTCCCGCGGTGCAGGAATGGCTCATCCGGGCCGACGACAACTACCAGCCAGGCGTCGACAGGGTCCAGAAAACGCCTCGAAAAAGAGAGACGAGGCTCATACTCGGTATGAGAGAAAAGATGAGCTGAAGAAGCCTTCATTCTCACCAGTCGACCACTGCGTTTTCCCCGGCGGCGGTGGCGTTTACGGCGGGTAGGTGGAGCGGCACAGGTAAACTAGTCGTCCCCCTGATCAAAACTGAGGCAGTGTTTTATGTCCACCATGACTAGACTTTTCTAGATTAATGGCAGAAAACCAAAGGTCCAGCAGTGTTTGGCGATCGTACACTGGCTAGGCCCCTCCATGACCTAAATGTGCTTCTTCTTTAGACACTCCTGTGTTGCCTTGGCCGTATGTTCAGGGTCATTGTCCTGCTGGAAGACCCCTCCATGACCCATTTTCAGTGTCCTGGCTGAGGGAAGGAGGCTATCGGCCAAGATTTTACGGTACATGGCCCCGTACATCCTCTCCTCGATGCAGGGAAGTGGTCCTGTCCCCTTAGCTGAGAAACACCCCCAAAGCATTATAGGCGCTTTCACACCAAGTACTTTGCCGTACTTAGTTCATCAGAACTCTTTAGTTCTGATGAACTAAAGAGCAGATCGCGTTCACACCGGAATAAGTCCCTGGTTGCGTTCGAATACTCCAAAAAAACAGCTCCTAAGTTCTAACCCTATCGTCTATTCCTTGACCTCGGAGTGAAACGTCATGGGGTTAAGGGATAGTGGATAGGAGAATTCAAAAGGATTTAGGAGAAGAGACTGCGGTGCTTTAGAGAATCCGACTGCACTTTCACTATCCGACGTGTTTATGATGCGCCAGCAGAGGTCATAAATGTGCGCCTGCTGCTGTGGGGAAACTATGGAAACTACAGTTTTCTATACAGCGGACTACAACATGGATGTTTAATAAGAACGAGGGACTACTGTAAACTCATCTAGAGACTCTGCACCGTGCTCTGATGCTGTTGTTTTATGCTTTATGAACGGGGACAACAGAGAAACATATTCTTCATGACCAAAGTTGGAATTGAAATAAAAAAGGAAAGTGAAACTTATGCTCGTCACCCTCTCCCTCCGGTCCTCATTAATACAAATGATCCCAATACGTATGATTGTATGAAAATATCTTAAAATCAATACAAATGTATTTATTATAAACGTTAGTCCTTAACATCTATCACTGTGTATATCACCATTCAAACATCTTTTAAAAGTTGAACAAACCCCACACAGCTCAGTAAAGACTGTGAAATGTTGACTTTATTTGATCATTTCAGTAAAAACTAACGTTCATATTTCTCTTTTTGATTATAATACTGATGAACGTTCAAAACAAAGCACTTTGGCAACTTACCACATACGTTTTAAAATGCTTAATAAGCACCGTAACTTTCATGATATCATTTCTCGTTCATAATCGGTTGTTTCCGTGAACGGCCGACTGTTGGGTGACGGCAAATGCTGCGGCTGCAAGGCATTGTGGGGCAGCATGTTCTCCTCTCCTTTCGGTTAGGGAGGTCCAGTGGTTCCTAAGCTAAAGGAGGTTATAAAGGAAGTTTGAAACCTCCTTTCCTTTTAATTTAGAGAATTCGAACGGCACTTATGGCTGCCACTGAGGGACTTCCGGGTCATTTCACTCCGTTAGGAAGGTTCCTAAGCTAAATGGACTATTCGAATGCAACCCCTGAGGGAGGATTAGGCAAATGAAGCCGCTGACGTCACTTCTTCTTCTTCTGCTTTGGGTTTACGGGCATTTCGTAAACAACTTCACAGCGTATACTGCCACCCGAAGTCCCCGGCCGGAAGTCCCCGGAGTTGGGGACTGGCTTCAGTAGAAGCTGCTGGGAGTCTTCCCGATGTTGGTCTCATCTGACCACATCACCTTCTCCCAAGCCTTCTCTGAATCATTCAGATGTTCATTGTCAAACTTCAGATGGGCCTTTCATGTTCTTCTTGAGCAGGGGGCCTTCAGGCGCTGCAGGATTTGATCCATTATGGTGTAGTGTGTTACCAATAGTTTTCTTGGTGACTGTGGTCCCAGCTGCCTTGAGATCATTAACAAGTTCCTCCCGTGTAGTTCTTGGCTGATCCCTCAACTTTCTCATGATCATCATACCCCCACGGGGCGAGATCTTGTGTGGAGCCCCAGACCGAGGGTGAATGATGCTCATTTTGTGTTTCTTCTATTCCGAATAATGGCACCAACAGTTGTCTCCTTCTCGCCAAGCTACTTTCTGATGGTCTTATAGCCAATCCCAGCCTTGTGCAGGTCTACAATCTTGTCCCTGAGGTCCTTAGACAGCTCTTTAGTCTTGTCCATGGTGGAGAGGTTGATTGATTTGTACTTTCTTAAAGGAAGAGGACTCATGTAACCGGTCCATGGGAGCCAGAATTCTTGTTGGTTGCAAGGGGATCAAATACTTATTTCCCACAGTTAAATGCAAATCAATCAACTTTTATACCATTTTTTTTGTGTTGATATTCTTACACTCGCTGTTAAAATAAACCTACCATTACAATTATACATTGTTGTATAATGTTGTGGGCAAATTTACAAAATCTGCAAGGGGTCAAATACTTTTTTCCTCCACTTTATCTTGTCCATAACAACTTATTATATTTTTGGATGTCATCACTAGAAATGTCAATAGTTTGCCAGGGGTTTTTCTAGAAACATTTAGTATGAGGGCGCTAACGTCTCTTCCGGCCAAAATGACTGCCCCGCCCACCCTCCGGCAAAACTAATGCATTGGAGCGAAGTGGAAAATGATAGTTCCTCATGATAGTCATATATTGAGCCCCAAACAACAAATAAGTTGAGTTACGGTTTCTTTACTTCCTCTACAGAAATAAGGACAGTAAAAGAAACTGATTCAGAAATCACAGTTTCAGTGTAAGCCTGCTGCCTGCCACTCGTCCCCCGGCAGACCGACCGGACATCCATCCCATAATTATTCTGAGCTCTGTAATTATACAGTTTTTGACAAACAGAAATATTGTTTTTTTGCACCACCTTTAAGATCTTACTGTGAAAATCTGCATTTTGGTATGAGGGCGCACACCGAAAATAAGAGGGCACAGCGCGTCTGTTATCCGGTTTAACCACCTCTTGGTTGTAGGGGTATGGATAATACAAATAGAAATATTTGTAACGAATTGGCTATAGGACACCATGAACTGATAAATGATTGTTTCTCTGTCCATCAGGCTCAGAACCGTGCTGCTTACTACTCTGCCAACCAGCTGGCCCAACTCCGACCCAGCCCCCGTTGGGCAACTCAAGGAGTGCGTCCTCAACGTAAGTAAAAACATTTAAACTCATTTTGTCACTTCACTCTTATCGGATTGTGAAGCAATGCTTTAATTGAATAAATGGTACCTGGCTCTCTTAAACATTGAAAGAACTGAATTCTCTCCCCTTCAGTGTGAACCTTTAATGTAGTTTTCTCTTCTTTCAGACTTCCAAAACATGCCCAATGCTATGCGGCCCTCAGCTCCCAGGCCCCAAACCTTCAACACCATCCGTCCCACCACCACACCCAACACACAGGTTCCGCGCATGATGGCTTCCCAGCGTATGCGTAAGTAATTTCATATTTCAGAAAATACAATCTAAAGCTATATTTTGTCAAGTTGTCCTTGCGAGTTAATCACTTGAAGCAGGTTTGATAAAGGGACCTTTTCACTTTCCTCAGCCACACAGGCCCTCAGCCAACGCCCTGCCGGATCTTCAGCCACTGCTGCCCCAGTGCGCGCCATGCCCCAGTACAAATATGCTGCTGGTGTGCGAAACCCCCAGCAGCACATGGCCTCCCAGCCACAGGTCCCCATGCAGCAGGTAGATTCCATTCCACTTGTGCTTTTCAACTTAACTAGCTGATGCCAGTGTTGTAGTCAAGTCACCAATTCACGAGTCCAAGTCACTCTCGAGTCACCACTCTTCGAGTCCGAGTCCAAGTCTGAGTCACCTAGGGAGAGTCGTAGTCGAGTCCGAGTCCAAGTCCGAGTCACCATTACCTGTGTTCGAGTCCGAGTCCAAGTCCGAGTCACCCAAGGAGTGTCCGAGTCGAGTCCGATTCATCATTACCTGTGTTCGAGTCCAAGTCCGAGTCACCCAAGAAGAGTCCAAGTCAAGTCAGAGTCACAAGTCTTCATGTATTAATCTTCGTGGATATATGTGTTGAAATGTAGCTGCTCCTCTACATTGCTTTTATCCTGTCATGTTATACTAATGTGTCTATAGAGTGGCGAAGTCACGCCCATCTACTTCCGGTCCATGGGACCTTATTTCGGAAAAATTATGTATTTAAGTCAATGGAGAGAGAAAACGTATCTTTCGATCCCGTTTGAATTGTGCCATGAATTACACATATGATGTTTGTCAATCTTAAAAAATAATTTCCATGTCAAAAAAGTCAAAGTTTTTCGTAAAACTGTTGAAATATAAGACTATGAAAAATACGCAACTAGAAAGACTACAAATCCCAGAGTCGCGTAAGTGATGTCACTCATAACTGATGTCACAATTGTTTTCCTCCACTAAAATAGAGATAGCTAAGATAAGATAACTTTAACAAGATGCCTGTGTGCTTAGTACCAGGTTGTTATCATACCAGCAATGGGTCTTGCTCGTTCTTTCGCTTCCCGTCTGATGAAAGGACCAGGAGTGGCTGGATCAAGTTAGCTACCTAGCTAATAGCAAGCACGTTAGTTAGCATTACAGCCGGCTTAGCCTTGTCATTTTTATTTTATTATTTTTAACATGAAGTAACATTAAGTAACCCAAAATGTTAAACAGTAAGAGTAGTAGTCATATTTCGTGAAGCCTTTGAAGAGTACTGTCACACCGGTGTGATCATTCTATAATACACCATTTAAGCCCGGGGGAGAAATGCTAACGCTACATTAGCATCAGCGATCTTCTCTACTTCATGCTATCTGCACAAATGGTTGACATTAAACATTAAAAAGACCAGGCAGTTCAGAGAGAATCAAAGGAAGGCAGGCAGGCAGCTTTGCATGACATTCTTCAGGACGTGTTTCATTGTGGTGATAGTGACGGTTGTCAATCTCTTTTTTGACAAGACTGTAGTGACGGCCATCTTGGTGACGTGTGTTGTTGTGCAAGAGATGTAGTTCATTGAGCGTTTCACCAAAAAAAATGTGTTACTTCACAGTTTTACGACACATTTTCTTTTTTTTTACTTGCAAATTTATCTTTTAAATTGACAAACATCATTTGTGTAATTCGTGGCACAATTCAAACGGGATCGAAAGATAATCTTTCTCTCTCCATTGACTTCAATACATATTTTATAATATGGTCCCATGGAGGTCCACCGGAAGGGGAGGGACTTCGCCACTCTATAGAACTGCTGTGAAGCCAGCTTGGCTACAATTCTTGTAATAGGTGCTATACAAATATAAAGCTTATTACTAATATTAATATTAATATTATTATTATTATTGTAAATGACCTTTTAATGTCTAACTATATTTAAAATGAGTTACCTTTTAGCTCTTACGTTGGTAATGATTGTATAATAGCAAGGGTGATCAATAAACAGATACCATCGGTTAGAGAGTCTGACCATCATTCAGGGGAGGCTACAATTATTATAGTGAATGTTTAAATTCTATCAATAAAGATTAAGCCCCAGAAAGCACATGGCTACTTAGCACATGGCTACTTAACATGCAAAATGACGACATTCTGCATGTTAAGTAGCCATGGGCTTTCGTGTTATCGGCTGAATCTTTATTTATTGATTAGATCACGTTACTCTGATGATAGTGTTCAAGACAGCCTATATGTCTGAACTCGATGTTTAGAGTAATGTGTTACGGAGCCTTCTCTTCAATATTGTTTCCACATAGAGCATTTTGCGCTGCTCTTTTCCAATGTGGAAGCAGAATGTGTGAAAGCATACAGCACGATGCGGGGTGTGTCTCTAGACATCTTTAGACTGGAATAGCGGGGGCGCGCCCAGTACGTGAACTCTCCTCGCAGGTGCACACGCCAGGATAGAGGACATCAGGCTCCAGAGAAAACTTGCTCGAGTCCAAGTTGGAGCGTCAATGTACAAGTCGAGTCCGAGTCATCGTGGGGGGAAAAAATTCACGAGTCCGAGTCCAAGTCATCGTACGCGAGAATTCACGAGTCCGAGTCCAAGTCATCGTGCGTGAGAATTCACGAGTCCGAGTCGCGTCAATCAGTGCGCGAGGTCGAGTCCCGAAATCGAGTACTGTGCATTTATTTGCACAGTGCTGGGACAATGAGCTATTAACTACATATATTATTTACCTTTTCTGTTTAATTGGTTTTAAACAAGAACATAGTGTAAAAACCATATCATGAAAATGTTTTGTTTATGCCAAATCATGCCAAATCATTAATTTTGTTTTCCTTCTTTAGCCTGCTGTCCATGTCCAAGGACAGGAGCCACTGACGGCCTCCATGTTGGCCGCGGCCCCTCCTCAGGAACAGAAGCAAATGCTGGGTAAGTAAATTATCTGCTCAAAGAAACTAACATAAACAGAATTGTACACAAGTCATTTGATAAGGATTTAAGGCTGGTTTTACACATTTTTTAAATAGTTGTTGACTGTTCTTCTTTAGGTGAGCGTCTGTTCCCCCTGATCCAGAACATGCACCCCAGTTTGGCTGGCAAGATCACCGGTATGCTGCTGGAGATCGACAACTCTGAACTTCTCCACATGCTGGAGTCACCTGAGTCGCTGCGCTCAAAGGTCAGATAGTGACTAAGCTATAAAATGTTAACAGGGCATAATGATTTTATCACTCCATCCCCTTTCCCACCAAAGCTTGAAGCTAGTGCCCGTTATGACCCAGTTCTTCCTGTTTCCACTGCAGCTTGAAGAACCAAATATGTCAGGCTTATGTTGGAGGCTTGGTCAGATTAATTTAAGCAATAACAGTTTATGGCGAGTACGGTGAACAGAATAAAGTTGTTACACGCCGTACCACTCAGATTGCAAAGTGACTAAGACATGACCTCACATATATATTAAGTCAGGCAACACTTATTTGATATTGTTTATTTTTTACCTTAATTATAATGACTCCGCGTTTGCTATTATTGCCCATTATGAAGAGCAGCACACTGCTTGAGCGGCATCATATTGATGTTGTTTTTATTATAGCAGCTATCGGGTGTAAACAATACATGGGCTACACATGTTGCCATGTCAGACTATTGCAATTAAAATCGTAATGAAAAATAAGCAAGTAAAATATGCCTGGAGAAAAGGGCTTATTCCACAATAGGATAGCGTGGGGGAAACTTCTGAAGCAATAGGAGTCAGGACTCGGAGAGACACGAGGAGAGCTGGAGCTTTGATGGCAAACACTGACGGTTTATTTGGAGCTTCGGCCGGAGAATTCACAAGACAAGTCAAGAGTCAGAGGTTCTGACTGCACGGTAGAGTTGCCACAATCAATTCTGAAGAACTCTTCTGTAGTTCCAGGTTTTAACTAGTTCGGAGTGTAATAATCAACATTCTTTATCAGCGAGACTAAACAAATATGGACCATGAATCTAACTAGAGCTCTCGTCCATAGAAAATAATGTGCGCCAGGGAACCTACGTTCCTAAAAAGAAGGGCTTCTAGATGTCCCTGAACAATAAACTATCTCATGTCAGCTTGTGCTCTGTCATAAGCTGGCAACAAAAATGTGCCCAAGCTGCCCCTCCTTAAGAGAGATAGCAGCAATACCCAAGGCCGTAGACCTATGCCATGGGAAAGGAGACAGTGAAAAGAGAAAATGATGAACTGTGTCAAAGGTTGAATACCTAAGCAAATTATTCCCCAACAGATAGCAACAAGTAGTCAAGATAGTCAGACAAGCTTCGGTGGCTATGCTTACATCACCCATCTCATACCAGAGAAACTTTAATAAAGGGGGGGGTGGCATTGGGATATATATTTTTTTTAAATCTTCTGGAGCAGAGAGAGGAGCTGTGGATTATTGTTATTGATTAATGCATCAGTGTTTCTTAGGGTCAAAAACACTAAACTCACAACTTAAAATGAAAGCGTTTAGTTTATTTAATAAACGAGCACATGTTCAATGTGAAAATTGACAGTAGATAAAGATTAGTTGCAATTTGTTGCTATATACATATATAAAAAAATTATTTGTTTTTGTTTTTTAAACACCTTCAATTTCAGGGGGGGCGCGGGGCTCCGTTGGCGGGGCTCCGTTGGCGGGGCTCCGTTGGCGGGGCGCAGCGCCCCTCCAAGACAATGGTAGGGGAAACACTGGGCTTATCTAAAGCCAGTTGAGTATCACTTAAAATGGTTTGGCTCTATGAAACCTAATGTACTTATATGATTCTGTTTTCTTCAAGTTTGTATATTCTTGGTCGAATGCACTTATTGTAAGTCTCTTTGGATAAAAGCGTCAGCTAAATGTAATGTCATGTAAATGCAGAGGCAAAATGTCACTGTGCTATGTGCTCTGCATGTGTGCCCATTTAAAGAGGGTTTCGTCCCTCCGATTCTATCTATCTGTTGTTTTAGGTGGATGAGGCTGTTGCTGTGCTGCAGGCCCACCAGGCCAAGGAGGCTGCTCAGAAGTCAACCACCCCCGCTGGTGTCCCCAGTGTCTAAGGTGTGTAACATTTTGAAGTAAAGATGACTCGGATGAAATTATACAGTATATAAATAATGAATAAATGAACTACAGAATAAGCATCAACATTTTTGGTCTTTTTGTCTTGCAGATTGAAACCTGCTTCACCGATGGAAAAAGAGAAAAAAATATTAAACATTGAAAAACCTAAAACTCTGAAAACATCGCAAAATGATAAATTATTTCTTAAAAAAAAGAAGAAAACAATTAATCTGCCAGGTCTATAGATGGTTCGACTAGACCTTGATAATAAACAAAAATGTGTTGAAAAAAATAGCAAAATAGAAAACAAATTGAGATTATACGTTCTGAATGCATTCCTCTGTTTTATGTCATGTTATTGTGTCAGTGCTCAGAATATCAGCCATGTTCAGGTGATAGCTGAGCATCATGAAGGGTGATTTGTATTGTAAACTGCTGGCTGTAATAAATTCTCATTCAAAATTCATGTTTAATTCCTCAGTTATTGTCCCAATTCATTTTCACATTTTGTAACTGTCATTGTAATTGGATAAATATTGATGCCAGTTTTGATAATGTGTGACAGAACAGATTCGGAAGCTGTTTTCCTGAGTTGGTGTTTGTAGCTGCAGGTTAATGTTCATACTGTATAGTGGTCCACTGGTCCTGCCTATGGGAAAGACAGTATTGTTTTCTTCCACCAGGTGTCCCTGTTTTCTTCTCACGTCACCGGCAATTTTGGTGTATGTACTGATGGTAACTCATTAGCACTTTCTTTACAATCATAGCCTTGTGCATCTGTTAAAACGTTCTTGGAATAGCCACTAAGGCATCCTATACAGCAGTCAGAAGTCTATAGGCTTTTGTATGTATTGCTTACTGTGGACAGATCCCAATGGTAAGTGGCTACATTGTTTACAGCTGTCTAATTAGTGCAACTCATATCCCCACACAAAGTGGAAAAGCTTTAAGTGGCAACAGGTCCGAACGTTTAACATTGATTTGGATGACATGGATTTTCACATTGCAAACTCCACCAACTTTTCTACTGTGATACAAAATAGATTTTTGAGACGCTGCTCCAAATTCAATTAATTCAAAGAATTGTATGGTATTTTCTTTTAAAGAAAAGGGCATTGACTTGAGAATGGAAGTGAATGTGCATTCCATCGCACGATCAGGAAAGGCCCTCTGTGTGCATCATAGTTTCTCTCTCAGCCTCTACAGCTTTCTCCACTGAGCCCATTCTGTTAACTTTCCTGCACTTAAAATAGTACATCGTTATATGTTAATAATTGTCAAATGACAGGCTTTGGGATTAACAGATCGTGTCACAGGATCAGGATACAAAAAAAGACGACTATACTCCCCAGTTACATGAAAAGAAAAAACCTGATCAGATTACTGATGTTTATAAAAATGACAAACAGTATAACTATTTTGCAAAACAAGGTTAAAATAAAGAGGGCGATGACCTGTCTGTTTTTTTTTTTACTAACATTCTTTATTTCAAATATCTTTAAGTGCAGCAGATGATTTGTTAAACCGAAATACTTTATTCATTCATTAAACTAAAACAGCATTTGTAAACTATACTATTCTGTAGAGACTTGTTTTTGGTAATAAATATCTTGTAAAGATATTGCCATTTTATGTATATATATATATTTTTTTGTATTTATTTGCATTGCATTTGATAATGAGGTCATTCAGAAGAATTGGAAAGTAACCAGCTTACATTACTTATATATTGTGATACTGAGATTATGGTTACTGGTAACTTTTTTAATTTAATGAGTCATTGTAATGAAAGTAACCCTCCCAACCCCGTCAAAATGCCATTTAATCACATGTTTTCTCCTTTAAAGTGGACCTATCATGCTATATTTGAATAATATAGTGTAGGACCATACCTATATAAGGCATATTTATACTTTTTTTTTTTCAAAATACCAAACAGATCATGCATTTTAGCCATGCCTCATTTTGCTCAATTTGACATTTTTTAGATCTGTTTTAGCAAGGGTTGATTCTGTGAGCAACAGCACCATCTAGAGGCCCGGCATATGTACTACAACGTCTCCAGCGCTTTCGAACGAGTAGTATGAAGCTGCAGCCTCGGAGGCTGCACTCTCAGGACCGCACTCTCAGGACCGCACTCTCAGGACCCTAGTTGTTTTGCAACATCGCCACCTAGTGAGCAGGAGACATGAATATGAACGACAACGCAGAGAGTGTGAGTAGTGTGAAGTGCTTTTAAAGTTTTATTTGTTTAACATTAATAACAATTCCGGTGTCTTGAAATGAAGTGTGATTAGCTAACATTAACTATGATAGTCTTAAGGCAATACAAACAAACATCTGTTAGCTTATGATAGCTTCTAACAGTATTAAAGGCACTAAAAACAATTATTTGTTAGCTATAGCTTTCTAATAGCATTAGCTTCATTAGCATATTTGTTTAATGAAACTGTAGCGTGATTTTGGCAAGCCCAACTAGGTGTCCTACATTAATTGTTGATTTAATCACTAATTACAGTAAGAGTGTGAGTAATGTGAATCATGTTGTTTGTTTAACCTGTTCCACTCTGAGCCTGTTTTTCAGGTCTCAGGCTCGAAAATGACATTCCCAGAACAAATGACCATATCTTCCCTTCTAAAAGGGTTAAATTAATAATCTTTTCTCAAAGTAATGATAAACCTGTGAGTTGGATGTAGAAGTGTCAGAATCAATATAAATGTTTTTTATTTTAAAGAAAATTCAGATTTTACATAGTAAAAAACTGTAAATTATAGTGTCCGTCCAAAAATTATTTTTTACAGATAGTGAAAACTACCCTTGGATGATGGGTTAGTAGACTAAAAGCTTTAGGAATCCAAAGTACAACATATAATAAGTACCCTGTATCAAGATTGATGCAAAACAAGTGAAATTTGACCTTTTTAGAGAGATTTAGCCAAAAACTGGGCCATCTGGGGTCATATGGGTGGATTTGACCTATCTCTGGCCCCCCTTGCTCGATCTGGTTGGTTGACATACCCTTGTGACCGTTAGAGCCAATAGAATCGAAGGAGGAGGCTCCCACCCAGACAGGTTGTAAAGAAAAAATGTTGCCGCTTCGCGTGTGGAAAGCGAAACTAAACTGGAGGAATGTCTCCTTCTGGAGTTTGGAAACTAAAACGCAGTTGTATTGCTTATGGATTATCAGAAATAATTTCAAAGAAGGCACAGACACATAGGATGAACCTATGGATTAACTGCAGCATCGTTTTTTTATCGTTTTAATGCCATTGAAGACCACTTTTGACCAAGGTGAGCCATATTTACATGTTTAGCTTCTTTGCTCCACATGTGATGATGTACGCTTTCGTTGATAGCGTCGCGAATGTTTATCACTGAGTGTTGAGGTGGGCACCGTTAGATTCAGTGTCTCCAGGACACCAAAAAAGAGTGTTTGGTTGTGCATCTAGGATAAGTAATAAGGGAGTTATGAGTGAGTTTAAGTGCCTTAGTAGGTCCCGTTTTTTCGATCGAGGCTAATCCAGAGGCTGAGTGCTAGCATTGTGGGTTTTTTTTGAAAAAAAAAATGAAAAAGATCAGTTAGCTGAGTTTCTTCCCGTTACATGGATATAACACATTCATAGTTTTATTCAATATTAAGATTCCTTAGACGTTGTTTCCTGCAAATGACGCGTTTATCCGCCCGGTACCGGGGGGAAGGCGTGAAACAGGTTAAAGTTAACAACTATTCTGGTGTATTCAATTGGACAGCAATACAAGCAACACGTGCTAAATTAAATTATGAAATATGAAGTTGATTGACTAAGAGTAAGGTCAGCTAAATTAAGGAAGGTTTTGTTGTTTTTCTGTCTGAATTGTAATTTTCTTCTGACATTCTACTTCAGGTGTCGTCAACTGGAATGTCTTCTCAGAGGGACACAAACAGGAATTTAGGAAGGCCTACCAAATTTCCAGGTGCTTTCAGTGCGACAACCTTTATAAGGACGTTGGCACAGGCTACCGGGGAAGTGGACGGCGAGGAACATTACAGGGTTTTTACTCAGAAGAGGGCTTCCCGGGGTACTGCAGCTGGAGCTGTTGTCTGGTGGTTGAGGGAACAGCAGACCCCGCCTCACCCCAGTGAAGAATCCACAGTGCCCAATAAATAAAAATGTATTCTGCACTGAAATTCCTCTCGTCAAATTGCATGTTTATCTTTTGCAGCCTGGTGCATAAACACACTAACAGTTGTTTTTGAGTAATCTAGCACCTCTTCAAAGACACATTTGATTTGATTTATTTCGAACGTGTAATACAATAAAAAATATATATATAATAATGAAATGAAACAAGAGAATTATGATACTGTAGAAACATAAGCAGTATCAAATTGATTCAAAGGAGTTTACACTTATTTAACCCCACCCCTTCTCCCAAAAACTAAATTAACAGTTTTGTTTTCTTTTAACAAAATATACATCTAAATGTATGTCTACATACAATATACATTTACAATTATAAATAGATTATATCATTATTACTACAATATATATATATATATATATATATATATATATATATTTATGTTGTATGTCAAATTTGATAAGACAAATATAAAAGACTATCTTTTTACATCTGACATACAAAATGCATTTGTTATTAAAAATCAAAAACATATTAACAACTTGTTAATAATAATAATGTAATTTCAGTAAGAAAAACATATTTTCATGCATTTTTAGATGGTTAATAACAAGCATTACAATGTCTAAAGAGACTCGCAGTGTATGAGACTCAATACTCGCTGGTTGTACTTTTGCGGTCATCCAATCCGCTAGGTGGCGATGTTGCAAAACAACTAGGGTCCTGAGAGTGTGGTCCTGATAGTGCGGTCCTGAGAGTGCAGCCTCCGAGGCTGCAGCTTCATACTATTGTTTCGAACGGCAATGCCGTGGTTGTCTCCTCCTGATTGGTGGAGTTGGCCCAATAGCCGTAGCGCCACCGTCCTGACGTCAGGAAAGTGTTCAAATCTGGATCAGTTTTTATCAGATCCGTTACAGCCCCTTTTTTAGAGATTTGGGTATGGAGGAAAATAGAGAGGGTTGTGTTTTCTGACACTTGGTGAGTTCCCTGGAACACCGGGGACACATATTCATGTATAAAAGACGTACAAAAGTGCATTTTGCATGATAGGTCCTCTTTAAACAAAGGGGAACATGGACAATCTCTTGGAACTTAATAATTACGAAAGTGTGAAGAGGATGGAAGTTACTGATGTGTTTACACAGATTTACCTTTCGAATGCTGAGATGTGTTTTGCTGCCACATCTCGTACACATTTTTTCCTATGTTTTTTACCCCAACATTTATAACGGGGACATTCTACATTTTCATTCTTTATTCAGGTAGGGTAACAACAAGAAGTTAATCATGGAGACATCTCAGGGTGGAATCGTCCTTGGTGTTGCTTCTCTTCCACTTCATTTGGAACGTATTTGACATGGTGTTCTTCTATCACAGACTCTTCCTTCACACTGCAGCACCAATACTCCCAGGCAAAAGATCAGCCCTTGTTTAAGCTGGACCAGACTGTTAACACATTTCAGAACATGACTGACCCAAAACAATTATACATTTTAAAGGATTGTTATGTCATGATGTTTGTTTATCTGTTTATGATTACAAAGGGGGGATTTTGAATACAAATATTTATTTTTCCACATTTTATAAAGCATAATCTGGTCCCTCTGCTTTATTTTGTGTATTATTATGATATGGAGGGAGCTTCTGTGTAGCGTGATTGTAAGCCCTGTGTAGTGTAGGATTTAGAGTTGTGTACGCTTATCCTCGATTGCTGCTGTCACATGTTTTCCAGTCTGGTTCAGGCTGTTAATTGTTTTATTCGTTTTTTCCTTGCTTATGAGGCTGTAAGGAATCCCTGCACAAACTGATTCTCACGTGTCTAAATATTTGAGTGGCAGTTTGTACAATTATACAAAAACACACAGAGAGCTATCATGTAATCCTCTGTATGTTGGATTAGATGCGTCTGTCTGGAACTGCAGTCTGTGCTAGTCCATCAGCAAAATATTTGACGTACTTACTACTCTACTGTACACCATATGTGTCAATTCAATAATTATTCATGCTTAGTTAATTCGTTTTGTGATTTATTAATGGAATTTACAAGGCGCTATTTATTTAACCTTATACATTATACATTATTTAGTTGCTGTGGACTGAGTAATCTTTAAAGCTTTGAACTGTACTTTTATATTTGTAATGTCAAATAATTAATTAAGTAACGCAGTTATAGCCAACAGAAAATACAATGTTGGAAAACATACATTGGGAATAGAGAAGAGGAGTGATCATCTTCAGTTATGGCAGTTATATTAAATGAAATATTAATAATGTTTTGCAGATTTTACATAATCTCTCATGTTTAACATGTTAACATTTTTACAGAAGCCAAAGTGTGGTGCTGATCTTGAACCTACACTACTTGAGGCCTATGAAACCTTGGTCCAAATCTCGCGATGCGATTTGAATATCTGAGCTAGAACGAGAACAGTAAACAACAGAGTGAGCTCTGTAGGAGCTGTTGTCGCTCGAAACGGAACGGATACGGATAGGTGGGACTGAACACAGCAGGAAAATAAGTGCTAGTAGCAGTGGGGAAGTCCTTCACAGCACTGCGTCGGGACCACTCGTTTCTTAACTTGAATCGTTTTTGGAAGGCAGGACGATTTCCCTAGTCTTCGTTACTGTCTGCGGAACAAGTGTCACTAGCAACAGACGGTATGTTCTCATCGTTTCTAGCTAACCGCTAACCTTGCTAACCAGCGGCTAACGCTCGTTGTGTGTGCTAGTTAGCTGGCTAGTGTTCTGGTCATCGTCAGTAAGGCAAGCTGAGACCCGTAATACCTTTTCTAGTGGCTCATATATTTATTCTCCTAACGTCATGTGCATATTTCTCATCCTGGACACATGTACCAGATGGTGATCATTTGTGAGCTAATGAACTATGTAGCTAAGCTACCTTTCAATCTAACGTTATAGAGAAGTCGCAGACAAGGAACAGTTAAGCACTCAACGTCAGCTGCTTACCAATATATGATCGTTACACTTTAGTTGGTAGTCAATTAAAGATTTTGAGTTAAGCAGCAAGTTTCTGCAGCAGTGTGTTAGACTTAGGCAACAGGGTGGATTTGCCTAAGACTGCCATGACAAGATACAAACTGAACAGAGGAACAGTAATGGTTTTGGTTTTGTTTCCGTCACACTGTCAACTACAGGTGCTTGATGCTTCTCTTTCTTGTGGTGAGAAATCGGCCAGACTCTGTTTTGTCTGTATTCCTCTATGTGTTGGGGTTCCTCAGGTGACATGCAGCTGACCATGTCACAAACGTTGATGCTTCTTCTTCTTGTAATATATGTGCCAATCTGAGATGAAAATGGAGACCTCCCATCAGTTAAGATTAAAAGCACGTTTCAACAGATATAAAGTCTACCTAATCATGTTACAGACAGTTATTGTGCAATTAATCAACAAATGCTCAAACCTGGAAGGAAAGTCTTACTGAGCATGCAGTTGAACTGTCAATGAAGTGAATGTGTTGCTGTTGCCATCCGGTGTAGTTGTTCTGCTTATCGTCCTTGGCTTAAGAAAGACTAAACACTTACTCCATATGTTTTGGCCCACTTCATTTGCCCTGTCACTGTTGTCCACTTGTGGTGGTAAAAAAGATAGACCCTCCAGAAAAACGCGATTATGCGATCGCATAATTTACCGCATAATCAGCAAAATAGCGCATATTTTTAAAAGGCCGCATATTTCTTAAAAGGTCGCATAATCCCCGCATTTTTCCACACAAAATTGAGGAAAAAAAAAGTTAACGTGAAGTAGTGATGTCATCAGCTCGCGCAGGTAAACAACACCGTAGAGTGAATGTGTGGAACTCACACGAGAGAGAAAAGCAACAAGATCAGCGCCATATAGATTATTATATAGCCTACTATTATTATTATATACTATTATAATTATACGGCTCTGACCAAGATGAACAAATCGAATCCATCCCATTTGCCTACGAACATTTCTGCTAAAGACCGGGCAAAGCAGTACGCAGATGTCTTGCACGAAAGTGGGGGGAAACTATTCTGCACCCCGTGCAACTGTGTATTGGAACATACAAGATTGAAGCTGGTCAGATAATGTGTGTGTGTGTGTGTGTGTGTGTGTGTGTGTGTGTGTGTGTGTGTGTGTGTGTGTGTGTGTGTGTGTGTGTGTGTGTGTGTGTGTGTGTGTGTGTGTGTGTGTGTGTGTGTGTGTGTGTGTGTGTGTGTGTGTGTGTGTGTGTGTGTGTGTGTGTGTGTGTGTGTGTGTGTGTGTGTGTGTGTGTGTGTGTGTGTGTGTGTGTGTGTGTGTGTGTGTGTGTGTGTGTGTGTGTGTGTGTGTGTGTGTGTGTGTGTGTGTGTGTGTGTGTGTGTGTGTGTGTGTGTGTGTGTGTGTGTGTGTGTGTGTGTGTGTGTGTGTGTGTGTGTGTGTGTGTGTGTTGTGTGTGTGTGTGGTGTGTGTGTGTGTGTGTCCTCGGCCCTCTTTAAAAAGGGCTTCCTTTCATTCAGTAGTAGCCTAATAACAGGGTGTGGGAGAAGAATCACCTTTTTTCCGCCTCCCGCATATTTCGCATAAAAACCCCGCATGTTTAATCGCATAATCAAGGATTTTAGCCCGCATAATCAAGGATTTTAGCCCGCATAATCAAGGATTTTAGCCCGCGTTTTTCTGGAAGGTCTAAAAAGAACTATGCCACAGCGTGTGATCCTCCTGACTTGTATTGTGGGGGTACCCTAGCTCAGTCCAATATGTTGAGAACTGAGTTGTTGGATATTGAGCTATATGGCCGACAGTGTCATCACATCCCAAATATTGTTTTCACTGTAAAGAAATAAATAGTTTCATACAGCAAAATCTGGCTCCTTTTAGAATTAACAGCACTTTGAAGTGATACAACTCAGTCTTGGAGCACTATAGACAATGGCAATCATCCCCAACCACTGATTTGTTTGAACAAGTTGTTATCAATAAAGGTCACTGTATTTGTACTTTCTCGGCCTTCTTTCAACTGGCCCACATCCACTTTACTGTACACACAGTAATGTTTACGCCCCAGGAAAAATGTTTCCTAATTTGCTCTTTCTAGTTCTTTTTAGTTATTGCTCATCTCTAGATTACTTATGGAGACTGACGAGACCACATTTAGAGTCATCAGTGTTAGGGTGTCAGAGGCCTCCCTGGGCTTAGCAGAATGTTGTGCAGACCTGTGTGTTCTTTCAAATAAAGTCCATTAGGGCAGCATGGAGACCTGCCTTTGTTCTCTGCTTTTGTCAGGACAGATGTGTTACCTTCCTCACTTGCTCTTTGGTAAACACATCTGAAAGGCTGGTTGTTGGATGCCTGGCAAAATTAGGGAACACTCAATCATTATGACGTGCATCTGAAATATGTACCTTGGATGTCCATTAGGGATGTCCCGATCACCTTTTTTTGCTCCCGATCCGATTCCGATCATTTGATTTTGACAATCTGCCGATACCGATTTTTCCCGATCCGATCTTTATGCAATGCATTAAGAGGAAAAAAAAGGTAACAGATAACGGCTGGTCATCCAACGCGATGAATTCAGCTATCTTGGCTGTTATTTTTTTGGCCTTTTCACTGTTCTGGGGTAGTTTCTCTTTCCTTTTAAAAGAAAGTTGTCGGTTGTTTCAGTGCCGTTACCTGAGTGGCCGCTGTGTACTCGTCGTGTTGTTGTTGGTGGTGTTTGTATTAGATTGGTCGTGTTGAACGTAGCTCTGTTCTTTCCACCACGCGGAACCTCCGCCTTGCAAACATTGCATCTGGCTGTTACACTGCCTTCGCTTTCAATTTTATAATACTTCCAAACTCCTGACATTTTCTCTGTCCCGACTCCCGAGGCACCAGCTGAACGTAGCCTCTTGTTAGCTTACTGCTACTATTAGACACTGCGCCCACTCTGTTGCCAGATTTGAGAGAAATAAGCAACCAGGTCTATGAAAACAAGCCCAAAAGAAGCAACACATACATGATGTTGTGTAATTTTAACCCAAAACTAAGGCCTCAGGATGACTTTAAGACGTGAACATGGTCATTTTTGTTTTGTAACATTAAATAAAATGTATACAAATATTTTATAAAAAAAAAAAAAAAAAAAATCCGATCCCCGATTTTTTTCTCCCGATCCCCGATCACGTGAAAATCACGTGATCGGCTCCGATCCCCGATCACGTGATCGGATCGGGACATCCCTAATGTCCATGCATTCATCTCATTTTGCTTATCTGTCTATATTAGGGGTGTAACGGTTCACAGAGTTCACGGTTCGGTACGTACATCGGTTTGGGGGTCACGGTTCGGTACGGGTTCGGTTCAACAAGAAAAAGCAAAAAAAAGTTCCAAATGTAGAATTCCAGGTTTGTTTTTTATTTATTTTGAACAGTAGTGCAAGTTTCAGTATAAAAATAAGGAACTCTAACATTTTGAATAATTAATTTTATTACACAGTTAAAAACAAACCACAAATGGCGCATTTCCACCATGGCGCAGAGCGCGGTTTAAGCGTGCCGTGTCGTGCCGGGCCCGTTTTTGGTTGCCTCGACGTAAGCGTGACGTATGCGGTGCTTTTGCTCTAGCCGGACAATTTTTGGGTGCTTGAAACGAACCGGATTCCGGAGCTAAGAGGCTGCTCCGCTGCGGTGTGAACAGGAAAACCCGGTGCTTTTCAAGCTCCAGCTCCGTACCGGCCCTGAAACACCGTTGGTGTGAATGAGGTAACAGACAGCATACTGTCAGCACTTTCCTTCTACATTGAGTTTGCCCATGAAAATGGCCATAAATAGTAAAATATTTATTTTAACTTATTATTGGTTTAGACAGAAGAAAAAATATGCGTTCAATGGAGAAAACAACGTTTTTCATAGCTGTGAAATACATTGACGTTGAATATTTAAGGAAAAGTGTGAGTTATTTTATGTTGCTGGTATGATGTCATCAGTGGTGTTTTTATATAACTGGTGGGGCACGAACAACTTGGATATTTCGATATAGGCTTCTGGTGCTTTTTTAACACTTCATCAAATAGCTGTAGGCTATCCATGATACCGAGGCAACAACTAGCTGATCGTCACATACAAAGAGAGAGCAAGAGAGGGAGAGGGGGAGTGTGAGATTGTGTGAGAGAGGAAGAATGGGAGCAACCAATTACATACTGTCTGAAGCCATGAATTAACACAGAGCAACACTACCCAGCTAGAGATGGGTATCATTAGGATTTTATCGATACCGATACTGCTTATCGATACCGGTATTTTTCGATACTCTTATCGATACTTTTCAATAATTTGGTACTCAAAATTATAGACATGATTACAAGATGTGAAGATTAAACAGTCATTTTATTGTAATTTATTTAAATTTATTTAATGTAACTTTTTCAATGTCATACCAAGCAGGTATGAGTGTGTTTGACAGTGTGTCTCTGGAAGGGGGGTGGTTATTAGGGGCAGTTCATAAATCCATGTAAACATGACCATTATTTAGTTAAAAACGAGACGCTGCGTGCGCACCTCCTAAACCGGAAGCTCCGGTCGGCTAACCATTATAATCCGTTTATTATTTATAATTGTAATGATGGATTATCATCGGTAATCATTTCAAAGTTACACATTGGATTAACCTTCAGCAGCGTTTTTATGCCCTTGAACACAACTTTCACAAA